CGAGAAATATTTATCTCTCAACCTCTTGAAGAGGGACGATTCTAAAAATTTTATAGGTATTTAACCAGGAAAATGAGTTCAAGATGGGAATTGTGCGGTAATGTTCAATTGCTGTTCTTCAAAGTTGTTCCCGAATAAATATTAGTTGATCATTTAAATAAACAATCAGTTACAGTAAAGATTAATTGAAATGTTCGCATGCATTGCTTAGGCTGTTGTTTCCATGAACTACATTCAAATGTATCTAGTTAAGAATGAATCATTAGCATAACCAATTTAATTCACAATCAAAGAGCAAAATTAATTTCCAGACAAGTCAGTTACCTAATTCTATTCATCCTCTTAGTTCTGTTTTGAATCCGACAAAAATCTATTTAAAATAACCCATAAATTTTCCGCGATCTGCCCCGAAATACAACAACTCCGCTGAGATCTGGAACAGATTGGTTTAATATATCACTTTAAATTATATTAGAAAATGAATCGGGACTACAACTGGATGTTTAGTATACAGTTTTCTGAATTTAAAGATCAAAGTATTGAAGAGAAAAACGATTTATTCTAATCGAAATTTTTACTTAACCATAATATTTTGGAAAATCGTTGTTTTAAATGTAGAAACAGAAGCAGCGCACAGACGAGCAATTATCTCACATCACACGATGCCATTGACTTGTTTACAAATAAGAACATAAGTATAATTGTTATGCATATGATTTGGGTATATTCCATGTTTTAACAGTCATTTTAAAAGGAAAATATTTTTAGTAGTGTAATTTAGATATTAGCTAGTTCATTTGACTACAATTCGAAAAATTGAATTTATTGAAATTAGTCCTGCCTTCTGTGTTCTCTTGAATCCCCTCTTTTTTACAATACGAGAAATATTTACGCTGTTGAGTGTTTTCAATTTCGCGGATAGATTATACCTTGTAACTTTAATTAATAATACAAAATTGCTAAATTTGATATTGGGTACAGTAATAATAATATAACAGTCGTGCAATTAAGCAAAATATTTTAAAGTTAGTTTCGATTCATCACGCTTGAATAAAGAAAGATCTTTAAGTTATAATAATTGTGAACCGAATGAAACCTGCAAGAAATTACGTAACAAAGCACAATAGCTATTTGACGATTTTGCACATATCAATGTCTGCTGAATCAGTACTTTGGAATAGTTAAGAATTAATTATTTTTTCAACTGTTCAAGCCGTTATATGGCCCGGAGAATCCATTCATATGGTATTTTGATACTAATTTTATGTGTAAGCCAAATACTTAATGCAAGCTTGACTGAAGCCAAGCAGAAGAAATTATTTTCAACATTTTACGGAATGCAGCACTTTAATGGGAATAATCGTAAATGATGTAAAACGTCTACATCTCAATTGAGCTCTTTCATTTATAGCGACTGAAAATATGAATTAAACGTCCGAATTAAACAGCGGAAGTGTCTGTATACAGGGCGTAACATAAGTATCTTTTGAGAAAGTGTTTGCGGAGATAATTTAAGTCTTAATTTTTTTGAGCTTCTTGGAAAAGTGATCGAATTTTCACCAAAATAGACAAAACTTATATGAAATAATAATTTTGTGTGTTCAATGTTAATTGACATTAAATGAAACGTGAGTTTGGTCCTTTATAATTGAAATGAACCAAAAGGGCGATAGTTCTTTTTGGAAATATTATTTAAATAACACAAGGTGTAATTGAACCCGTCAATTGAAGCGATCGTCGTCGAAACGAATAAAATAGGTGATTGAATAAAAAATTAGGTGTTATTTGAGAAATATTTGGTAAAATATCCCAAAGAAAGTGTCCCTTTCAAGGCTTAGGTCCAAAAAAAAGTCAGTCTATTAATCCAAAAAATCAGCTCGACAATGTGGTAAATAGTAAAGCAATTTTTATTAATTTAATACATTTAGAGTTCCGGGTTCTAAGCAGAAAATATAGTTTACTATATTTACTTTTGTGTTATACTTAATTAAATTTGAATACTAAATGAATTCTTAGAAGAAAACGAAACAGGATACAAAAACAGGAAAATATATTACTTTTCCACCAAAATGGAGCAATTCAAGAACTGAAATCCTCTGAAATCCACAACTCTAGAATGTTGCGCTGTTATCAATTTAGCCGCACTTAAAACCATAATAATAAATTATTAAGTAAATACACATTAGCCTCGTATTAATTATGTTTAATTTAGGTATAGACCGCGAATATTGATCGTTTCTGCAAATATTTCGTTGATGTTTGTCTCACTTTTACGCCTTTTGTGTTAAATGCCTGGTTTTCCTTACTTTTAACGTTTAATCTAGCACAAACGATTTGTTGAATCGTTTGTGCTAGATTTGTAAGCGGAAATCAAACTACTAGATTCAAGTATTTAGCAAAAAATCAGAAGGTATTGCATAAAATTTGTCATAACAAAACGGTTCATAGAGCGTGAGCACCCACTCAATAGAAAGTAGTCAGTGTGTGGAGTGTGTTAGGCATCGGTAGCTCAGTAAATTTTCAGAAGTTAGCACAGTGTTGCCTAAATGGCTTGTTGCGCCAACCCAACGCACCGGTGCAGTTGCGTTGCAGTCACCCATTTGGTTAAATGTGATGCCGTTTTGTTTGTTAGGTGTTGAAATTCTAGGGCCTCGTAAAACTTTAATCCGCCCCTGGGTTAAATATTAAGCGGAATTAAAAGTGCGACACAGTGGGACGCGATGATTTCTAACGCAAAATACTCTAGAAGCTCAGAGTTATGCGTTCAGTAAAGAAGAGTGCACTATAAATGCCGTCAACATTTTCGCAGGATTTCAAAGACTATTGCGGGACACATTTCAAGTTGAGTTTTTCAGACAGATTTCTCAGAAACAAAAAATACTCTACAAGTTCAGAGTTGTGTGTTCAGTAAAAAAGAGTGCGCCCTAAATGTAGTCTCTAAATGTAAAAATTTCGAATTTCACTCATCGTTAAGAAAATTTTGCTTGGGATTTGAAAAAACTGTTGCGGGACACATTTTCCATCGCCTTTTTCGAAAATAAATTTCTCAGGAACGAAAAATACTTTACAAGCGTAGAGTTGTGCGATCAGTAAAGAAGAGTGTGCTCTAAATATTGTCAAAATTTCTTCAAGCTTTCAAATATTCATTCAAATCACATAAAATCCTGAAATTTTTGCACTTCGTAAATGCTGATTTGAAAATGAACGCGCTTATACAACTGCACACTTCAATAAAAAAATTCCAACTTCCATAGTAAAGCCAGTAGAAACTTGAAAAATTCTCTCTGATCTGTAGTACGTTTTTATTCTTAATAAAATTGGCGTACACTTGCAGCTAAATGTCTGATATTCACCAGAAATTATTTATGCACGTTGTTATAACTGAATCGAATTACCAATTATCTGTCCAATGGTATAAAAGCGGTTCTTGAACAACGTCAAAAAAGCGGCGTCATGTTTCAGTCGATTCCGCAATTTATAAAAATGGGCAAAACTAAAAACTTTTCACTTATAAAAAAACCTTAGATTAGGAACCATATTTGCATATCTGAAACGGCTCTTTGGAGACAAGTTTCTGATGAGCTGGATGTAAAAATACAACGCCGCCCAAAATATTCCCAAAGTTTAAAAATTTACTACGAAATCACCAATAGCTCAATCCGATCCACCCTACAAGTCAGTTGATGACGTGGGACTAAAAGTTCTACATATATTAAGAATTTTTTTTATAGATGGCAACTAAGGGCAAAGTAATGCTAAGCTTACCGAAAGCTGCGTAGTGCCGCCTGGAAAAAAAGCAGGAAATGTGTTTAGTACAGCAGGAAATCTGACCAAAGCCAAACTTATTTGAAATCAGCAAAGACAGAGAAACATACAGAATCCATAAAATTTCAGTTGCTTGTCGGAAAGCAAAACTCAGTTCAATATAAAAGATTTAAATATTAGAGATAATTCTTACCAGCTTTTTTCAAAGCTGGCGCCCCATCCTCCATTTTCTACCCATAAATCCTCCAAAAATTCACCACTTTCGCAAACTACCGCACTTGCCATAAGGACCACAATAATTCCATATTTCCCATCTAAAACGTGATTGACACGACAAGAATTATCGACCGATTTCATCCACTGTCGGTAGCAAACTGAACACCTTTTCGAGAAAAAAAAACACCGAACTACAGAATAAACATGATTATTCATTTCATTGTTCGCCCTTTCGATGATTCATGCTTTACTTGGCAGTTCGATTTCAGTTTGTTTATTGTTGACATTTTTCTAGAAAGTGCCTGTTCGCACCGAAAAATAGAAAATTGTATTTAACCCGAATTGAAAAACACATTCAAATAAGCAATTACCTTAATCTACCGTTAACAAGCATATTTCATTTTTTGTGAAAATCGGGTAATTAAACCGCAAAATTGTGTGTTGAGAAACACAAAAGTTATCGCGTCTTCAATAAATAAATGTTCACTATTGAAATCAAACATTATTTACAATGGACAAATGTAGGCAAATCATGGAACAAATAAACAAAACTTATTTGTCACGATGCAATTGGAATATTTGAAGATTGTTTTTCATCTTGATCAACTTTCTGTATTGTGTTTTCTTCAGCAAAAAAATACTGTTTTCTGGAAAAGCTCGCGTACAACTAACAAAAACATGGTTGTTGTATTTTCGGTTTTCGATCTCAGAAGTTTTTATCTTAAAATTACCAATAAATCTGCTGTTTTATGGCTACAGCTGAAGGGAGCTTCTTAAACTTTCATATTTCACTTTTCATTTGATTAATAATAAATTTATTTACATTTTAAACACCCATTCTTTAATTGGTTATTGTGTGCATTGTAAAGTGTTATTTATTATATTAGTTGTATGCGTACTTATTATTTTATTTGCCATTTGCCACTTTTTATAAAATGTTGGTATTGAAAACTTTGCCTATGTGTTTTGCATGTTTAAAATGTCGTTTTAGTCTACAGTATGTATTTTTAATTTTTAAGCTCAATTGCTGTGGCATGCACGGTCCAGATGATTGGCACAAAGTAAACAATAACGACTCTCTGCCTCATACTTGTTGCCCGAATGCTCAAAACGATGGTAGCTGCAACAAGAACACCGAACACAGCCTGAATTCGTGCTTCAATGCGCTAAAAACCTTGCTGATGAAATACGCATCGCTGATAGGAGCTGTTGGCTTAGGCATAGCAGGATTTCAGGTAAAACATTATTCTTATTTTATTAATACTAATGACCTTTGGGTCTTCAATTTAATTTACTTGAGGATTTAATTCCTTTCAGGTGCTTGGAATAATATTTGCATGCTCTTTAGCGAGACACATCCGTAAAGAGTATGAAACTGTCTAAACAGCAACATTTGTTGGTTTTCTGAGTTTCAAATGGATCGATCACTTTGTTATATATCTATTAAAGTTTAATTAAGATGTAATTCACGACGTGTTTTGGGAAACCTTTTACTTGCACTTTCTCTTTGTTGTGTTTTGTTATATGGTTGTGACTTTATCTTATTTTAACACGTGTTTGATAAGAGAGGATAATGCAATTATATTATTATACGTTGTGCAAAATCTTTGGCGATACAGTATTAACATTTTTATGTCCAAAAACGTGTACTCTCTTACCTATTTCACTGGTGTAGTTTTTTTACGATTACATTATGACGCACTAGATATAGATCAAGAGTATTTTTATATTTACCTAATCACTTTTGGTACAACAAATATATTTAACTTATTTTATTCCACAAACTTCCCCATGTGTTCACGTTCACAGACTGATTTGTTACACTGTTCACATTTCGTAAGTTAGTTGTTACAAACCAAAGGTGCAAACGGCAATTTGTATTATTAAGACCACATATATATGTATACGTTTATTTAGTGTTTTTATCATGTTTTACGATAAGTATAAGTAATTTGCCAAGTTGTTAATTTTGGTTCCAAAAGCGATCAGTCTTCAAACAAACTAGACATCAATGTAAATTGAACACACAAATAAATAGCACTTTTTAGATAAATTTAATATGAAAAATCGATTATTTTCGAAATGTAACATTTTACCGATGGTTTCCAAATTATGGGTTTCTGAGCTCATGTGATTGGTCCGCAGTTTCTTTTGCCCGTTTTTATTTTCAAATAATTTTACATTTTACAAATTGGCGGACCAATCACAGCTAATCACGTATATCATGATATGTCATCTTGAAGAAGCAAGAGTCAGATGGACCAATCAATTAGGCACTGAAACCGCAAATCTGAATCTTCATTTTTTTTAGACATCCACATAGAATATGGATATGATTTATTACTCTAAGAGGCATAATTATTGTTTCGTTTTCTAATTGCATAAACATTTAAATTGTAGTAACGTGTGTTTTTTTTTTAATTGGTAATGTTAGTAACCGATATTTATATAAGTACGTACACAAAACATTTAAAATGCGTAAGGTATATTGTCATATTTGAGAATAATTGTAGCAGATTTTAAAAAATATATTTCATTGTTTTATTCATATTGCGAAGATAGGCAATTATATTAATGTAGATAATAAAAAAATGGCATTGACGCAAGGCTGAAATAAGTATAGAGATGTATCCCTGGTTTGTAGAAAAATAATCTATGATTATATAATCGTGTGTATATCGAGAACTATTATTTTATATCTTAGCCACTGCTCGTCAAGAATAACAACACTATCACTAAACAATTTTTTTATGAAGATAGTAAAAATATTATCAATTATATTATGCAATAGAGAAGATACCTCAAGGAACATTCACTTGTATTATTTACAAGCTTTCTTGGAAAAGGAGATGTATAATGTGAAAACATCCAGAAATCTAGTGTTCATATTTTATATATAATTGACTGTATTAATATAAAAAGATACTGAACGTAATTTTCACCTTATCGTCACACAAAGGAAGTGGTTGCGTAGGTGCAACTGATACCGCACATCTTCATTTTAGACATACTTCTCAAGTTTGATGGTTCAAAATATCTACTTATTTTCTTTAATAAGCATAAGATAATAGGTAATTATTACGGGTTAAATAACGTTTGGTTACTCATACAACTGCGATTCAAAATTGACGCCTGTTTTATACTTACTGTAAATAAAATAGAATATAAACATCCGTGGAAGGTTTTATCGGGTCTCTAGAATGGGTTGGTAGTAAAGACATGCGCCTCGTATCAATCATCACATATTTTGTTGGAAATTAATTATTCAAGTTTGTTTATTACACAACCTTCGGTTCCCTATTTAACAAGATGTTTGTACACAAAAGTTACTTAATTTACTTTAATCTTCCGTTCTTCAGTCTAATAATTAAAATATCGTCTTGTTTTTATCCATATATGTGGCAATATTACCGAGACGACAACGTCTTTCTGAATGAATAGCAAACAAAAATTGAATTTGGCTTTCATATCACAACGACTTGCACATTAAATAACCAGTTTACATACTAAAATTTATTACGCCATTAAGAACTAAACAGTACCTAGATGAATAGTCCATATTCTCTTACAAAATCACTTCACAGAAAGCCGATTAGAAAATGTACTTATTGCATTTTATTCACGAACATAATAGTATCGCAATAAAACGAAATGTATCTGCACAAGCAATCTACAACGATTAAATTGCACATATTGCAGGACTATTTGCGACAATTGTTATGATATACACTAATAGTCGAATTATAGTATAAATTGATAGACGTATTGTTAGCAAAAGTCTACAACATGTGTATCAATCATACTATTAAAATATACTTTCCAAATCCATCATTACAAAATGGTACCACACTTTGCATTTCCCGCTATGGATAAATACGAAATCACCAGGAACATAAAGTTTTTCAGTACGCCTAAATACTGGAAGGTATAAGTATTTGGCAACTGTACGAATAGCATTAGGAAACTTTTTAACTGGTGGAATACGAACATTTTAGTTAACCTATCGAGTTTCAGCTTTGATATGGATGCAGGTCTCAAAAACTTATCAGATATATCACAAACCGAAATACACTTGTCTTGTGCTGTAATAACTAGCAATTGATCAGACAACATAATTGCAAAAAGCACATGAAAAATTTTGTCATCATTACGGAATTCAGTATAGTTTAAGCACACTGAAAGAGAGATCACAACTCTTTACATCTAAACGTTAGAATGTTGTTCAGTTTCTTCCTGGAACACTAGAAGAGGAAGAACGCTTATGAATTTAACGCATCTTACATTTGAATGTCTTGAACCTTGTAAACAATTAACTTAAGACATTAAAGGTATTACAAACTTACAAAAACATTACAAGAATAAAATTATATGTTTATGATCAAAATACGAAGTTGCCTGTACGGGCAGAGTAAGGACAATGACTGGAAGGGCCAATAATGGGGGCAACCAAATCACGTGGCGTACCGCTTAGTCCAGAGGCGAGCTATACGATCGTGTTCATCGCGATTTTGAAGGTATTGCGTTGCTATACTGCCTACTAGTGGATCAGCTGAAATAGACAAGTACGAACGTTTCAGACGCTGTCCTGATGAACTGTGCTGCTTATTCTATAGACCTACCTGGATTGCAATCTGTTAACAGCGAGCAGATTGAGAGTAAAACTTTAGATATGGTCAACGCTGGTGACCAGTTATCTTTCAATATGTCTAGACATATTACTCCTTGACTGTTGATATTGCAGTGATAAATCCGAGTTCTGAACGTCACCTTGGGAGGCTTGAAGGGGTATTCCGGGGAAAAATGGATATCAAGGAAGAAGACGCCACCTATATTAAGTCAAACTTAACTCAGTGACTTGTGATTTATGCCGACTAATTGCTTGTTTTGCATGACTATAATATTTCACAAATAATTCAAATATACGGTCGAGGGTATAATGGTTTACGAGAATAAGCTGAAAACTTGCGCAATACTTGCGTTATTCTCATCAAGAGAATCAGGCCAGAATGCATTTTATTGGGAATAATGTGAGAAGTTGCAAAAATGTAGTAATATCAGTCATAGGCATATGTAATTGTATTTTCGAGGATTGCGATGTTTCTTTCTAAAGATAGAATTCTTCGTATCCTGTCTGGACATGTTTTCTACTCTGACATTTAACTAATTTTGTTGATTTTGTATTTTTTCGAGATTTCAGTTTCCTTCAAAGGTTTTAAGGAATTTTGCAGAAAATGAATGCTGCGCAAAACAAGCTTTCAAAAGAAGTGTAATGTATTTGTTTAATAAAAAAAATAAATTTTGTAATAATGATGAGTGGGCGTAATGGTTTATTTAGATAATTGTGTTGTCAAGAGATTTTTGTTTGATTTTATTTTTTGTGTAGTTTTTGTTTTTCAGTTTGTTAGTATTTTTAGTGGCTAACGCTAATGTGCGGCAGCGACGAAGAAGAATACGGTCAGCTCCAGAAAAAACCATGCAAAACATATGCCAATAAATATGACTGAAATCACGTTTAAATTGTAGATATATTAGCTGGACAATGTTTCTTCATACACTTCATCAAAGATCGAAAACAATAAGTGTATTCACGTAATTAGATATTTTTTATTTAATTCCTGATTAGCTCATTTATTATTTAGAAGCAAAAGTGCGCTCTTTTTCACGAAAAATCGTGCCAACCTCTCAAACACACTCACCCTCATAGACAGATCCAGGTGGTCCTAAAATTGTAGAAACCCATTCATAAAAGTTTTCTCCTTTAGGACCTGCGCTACAATTTGGCGGAGGATCAAGAGTGATCTCGGCCAGCTCTTTTTGAATCCGTTTAGCAGAAGTGCCCAGAGCTTTAGACATTTTTGGATTAGGTTTGCTTTCTTTAGATTCTTTTTGATCGCCAACTGTGGCTTGTCCACCTCTACCTCTACCTGAACCACTCGATCCAGCTGCGGACATAATCTGCAACTAACAGATTTTGTAAAGTTGCATTTTATCACTTAAATTAGAATCCAAGCGAAAGTGGCAATGTTGAGTTTGTTTAGTTAGCGCGAGCCATCCAATGCGTTTATTGCCACGGATATTATAGCTATTTATGTACCAAGGGCGTTACGCACCTTATAATGCCCTGAGGGCCGAACTAGCCCGAGGGATAGGTTTCGGCCTGATGGGCATTATTATCTCCGTAACGCCTGTGGTGCATACAATGC